TGTTTAAAAAGATGGTTAAATTTTTTTATAGTTAGATATGATATTTTAAAAGAAAAAATAAAATAATTATGAGTTTGATGTAATATTTTGTCTTATTAATTATTTTAATTTATTTTGTCTTTTATAGATTTTAGCAACAAAAAAAAAAAGCCAAAAAGCCCAAAAAACAAGAATAATGCAACACGTAGCAATTGGCATACCAATTAGGCCATGTTTGTTTGGGTGAACATAAGTTTGGGATTGGACTAATAGTCCAATAAAATTATTAATTCGATATTTGGTTAAACAATTGAAGTACGGACTAACAATCTATCCGGATATGATATTCCACATATGATGGATTATTCAATCCCACAGAGGAGGGTGGGATATAAATTGGAGAATTAAGTCAAAATCTGGACTATTAGTCCTTCTTATAATCCTAACTCAATTCAAACATAAGATAGAATACACAATCCAAATGATTCGTAATTCTAAAACTATTAGTCATGAGAATGCTAATCCCACTTAATCCAATCCACCCAAACAAACATGGCCTTAGTGTACTAATAAATGATATGACATAGTTTTGATGGTTTTGAGTTTTTATAATTTGTATAATATGTGGGATCTATAGTTTTGAAGTTATAATGCCATAGTATCTGTTGGTATACCAATTTGCATTAAAAAAACAAAAGGAATCACATTATTTGGAAACACTCGCGTCTCACTATTTTAGGCCTCTTAATATTTTAGTCAAAAAGTCATTATAAATTATCATATCACTTTTTTTATTTTTCCGTATATCTTTTTATAAAAAATCAAAAATTAACTAAAATAATATGTTCTAAAACGAGACCTTAATGGTAACAAGTACCATACACAAAATTAACAAATAAGGATGAACCTTTGAAGCAACTTTTCTAGATAGCCAAAGGCCTTTTAAAAGTGAAATAGGGTCTGATCGTGGCCTATTTTAAAAGTGCTTCATAACACTACAAGAAAAAGTATTTTTGCCGATCACTTTTAGCTACCAAAACTAATTTAGTCGTCAAAAGTCACGGAATTGGCTACCAAAAATAATATTAGTCGGCAAAGGTCAACTTTTTAGCTACTAATTTTTTTTAGTAGAGGAATGTTGATTATTGGCTACTAAAAAAAATTTAATAGCTAAAAAAAATACAATTGACGACTAAAAAATCTTTTAGTAGCTAAACATATCACAATTGGCGACTAAAAGAATTTTTAGTCACCAAAGACCCAGTTTTGGCTACTAAATAGTTTGGTAGCCGAATGAAAATAAAAAAATTATAAAATACCTTTGGCGACCAAACTGTTAGTCGCCAAAAACAGGGGATTCACCGACTAAATTACGTTTTAGTCGCCAAAGCACTACTTTTGGCTACTAAATAGTTTTGTAGCCGAATGAAAATAAAAAAATTAACAAAATAGTTTATTTTATTTTATTAATTTTAATCTTTCCCGACCAAACTTTTGGTCGCCAAATGTCATGTTTCGGCGACAAAATTTCTTTTAGTCGCTGTATATCTACTTTCCGGCTACTAATTGTTTGGTAGCCGAATGAAAATAAAAAAATTAATTTTTAATCTTTCCCGACCAAACTTTTGGTCGCCAAATGTCAAGTTTCGGCGACAAAATTTCTTTTAGTCGTTGTATACCTACTTTCGGCTACTAAATTGTTTAGTAGCTGAATGAAAATTAAAAAATTAATTTTTAATCTTTCCCGACCAAACTTTTGGTCACCAAATGTCAAGTTCGGCGACAAAATTTCTTTTAGTCGCTGTATATTTACTTTCGGCTACTAAATTCTTTTAGTCGCTGTATATCTACTTTCGGCTACTAAATTATTTGGTAGCCGAATGAAAATAAGAAAATTAATTATTTTTATTTATATTTTTATTAAGAGGTTGTACACCCACCATCCAAAAATATTAATATCTTATTTTTTTTTATTATCTCAAAATATTAATTTTTTAAAAAAATTAATTATTAAAATAATATGAATTTCTTATTTTGTCCTTTTTTTAAATCCATTAATAATACAAAAAGTACAATTATGGCAATTGATATTTCTAAAAAAATATACTATCAAAAGGTAATTTTGAAAAATTAATATTTTTAAAATGTAATAATTGTATTATAAAAAGAAATTAAATTCTGAAAATAGATTATTATTTTTAGATAGAAGATGTAGTCGGCTTTCATTTGATGGTTGAACACATCTTTTAATAATTGGGCCCTCACGCGAAAGGTATGCTAAAATGGGCAACTTGTTATTGTCTGTTTGTCGATGATTTTACATTGCAAAAATTTAAAGGCAGAGTTACAGGTTAGTCTGATGAATTTAATTTTTAATAATAAATTTATTACTTTTAAAAAGTACAATTAAACTATTTATACTTTTTACATCATCATATTTCAATAACACTAATAAATTAAGAATAAATCAAAATTCACAAATAAAAGACAAAATATCCCAATTATTTATCATTTTAATAAATTTTTCAATATTATTACCAATACTAATGAAATAATCATTTTACAGACACAAAACATATATTTAAAAAGTTTTAAAAAAATTTCATTATCAAAACGAGGGCTAAGTGTGTAAAAAAAATTCACAATTGACTTATGAGTAAATAAATCTGATTTGTAAGACTTATTGATATTATTTCAAATTTTAAAATTTTTCTTAATTTTTTAATAATTAATTTTTTCAACTTTTTAAAATATTTTAAGCAAATTTTAGTCGCTGTAGGCCTACTTTTGGCTACTAAATTGTTTGGTAGCCGAATGAAAATAAGAAAATTAATTATTTTTATTTTTATTTTTATCTCTAGATCGACCAAGGATCTCCGGTTTGTGCATCATTTAATTCAAGTTTGTGCATCTTGCTATTGCAAAACAAGCTTTAGAGTCACAAATCAAGATGAATATAGCTCTTGGTGCTGCAACATATGAACATGCTTTTGCTTGCTTAATAAAATTTGCTCATAGCTTGGAAGCAGTCAAAATAAATGAACCAAATAAAAACTTCCAGAGATTTTGAATGTATGATTTTCCGTAGTTTTAAACTTTAACTCAATCTAATAATTTCATCAATGCTTTTCCTTTTTAGATTAGCTTCACTGGCATTATCCAGATTTTCCATCATTTTTCTCATATTTACTGGTGCAGGCTTCATTGCAATGTATGCTACACTTGCCAGCCGAGATGTGGACTGTTGTTTGATTCCAGAATCACCCTTCTTTCTGGAAGTGGTAGTGGATGTAATAGATATTGGTGAACATGTTCTTAAACTCGTTAATTTTCTTGTTTGGGTAAGCTAGCTTCATTTGGTACTGTTAATTCTGTTGAATTGCATGCATTTAAATTCATGAATGTAATGAAATATTAGTGAATTTTTATCAGAAATGTTGGAAAAGGCAATAGCAACTCCTCCAACTGTTTCACCAATATGGTGTTCCCCATTACTTGAGGTATGTGTAGAATTAAAATTAAAATTCTCTACTCAACTTTTTGAATGATCCCATTGAATGAAATTTCTAACTACGCTAGTTCTACTATATTTGAAGTCCTGTATAGGAGTAATTTGGGTATGTATAACTGTGTCATATATATGTGTGAATATATATATATATATATATATAACCACTACAACAAAAAAGGTCTATGGTGACGAAAATGCATGATGAAAAAATATTTCGTCTCCAAATATACATGTTTTAGTGATGAAAATAAGATTTCATCTCCAATCGTACTATTTTTAGAGACGAAAACAAAATTTCATCACTAAATGCTTAAAATAAATAAAATAATAAGTGATAAAAAATTATTCATCTCTAAATTTTAATTTTCGTCACAAAACAAATTCCTGCCTTAAGAAATTTTGGTGGAAAATTTGGACGCCAAATTAGAGACGAAAATTTTTGTCATCATTGTAAAAATTTTCAAAGACAAATATAATTTCGTCTACCCAAATCACTCTACCCAAATCACTTCTCTTTCGCACTCTTTCTCTCACTCTCTCACCCAGTCTCGTCTCTCTCTCTCTCTCTCTCTCTCTGGTCTGAGCTCGTGAAACCCTCTTGCCGATGTCTTCCTTGCCTTCTCACATGCACACGAGCACTGCCGAAAACCCTCTCTCTCCGTTCGAATTGCACCACCAGAAGCCCTCTTCTCTATTCGTTTTGCTTCACTGATGCGGTACCACCGACACCCTCTGGCCTTTCCTCCCCCACCCCCACCAGCTTCGATTGACTCAACACCACAACTTTCTCTTTTCAATCCAACCAAAATCTCTCTGATCTCTCCATCGATATGTTTCAGGTAATTCAATCTTCTTCTTTACCCCCTTAATTTCTCAATTTCTTCGTTTTTTCCCCCCCTTGAATCAGATCATTCGTGGAGCTGCATAACCCCACTCAAAATTGGGATTTTTTTTCTTTAGATATATATATTTATGCAAAAGTTTAGGAGTTTTAGAAATTTAAGGCAGTGGAATAATTAGAAAAATTAAAATTGCAATTTTTTTTTTTGTGTGATTGAATCTTGGATTTGGAGAGTGATTTGTGGAGGGAAAATGAAAGTAAGTGGAAAAATGAATGAAAGATAAGATTAAAATAAAATGAGCCGATTGTATGAACAGTGTCTACAATTAAAAATTAAAACTTGGAGCTTTGTTGAGTTGTTGGTGGTGCTGCTTTTTTTCCCCCCCTTAATTATTACATAAACTATAATAATAGTTTGATTTTTAAATTTGACTTTGATAAAAGGAAAACCTCAATTGTAGTCGTCTGGTTATGTGATGTATATGAGGCAACTAGTAGATTTAATTATTGTTCTTTGTTTTTTTGTCATGTCTTCTTGTTGTTATTGTTTATGTATGTATCTTTTGTGTTAATTTAGTGTTTTTGCTTATGAAATTAGTTTATATGATTTTCGTGATACACATTAAAGTTAGTCTTACCAGCTTTTTTATCTTGACATTTTTATCATTGTTTAGATTTCAGATTCGAATTGATGTCGGTACTACTTTCGTTCTTTCTTTTGCCATTCAAGGTGAATCGCAATCCTTCATTTTCATACATGCAAATATGTCCTGTTTATTTTCTTTTTTCCATTTTGTATAAGAATTTCAAGTGGGCCTTACAATGTTGGGTGGTTACTCCAACGTTATGTAACATGTGTATGTGGTGTATTTGTTATGACAAAGATGAGTGTGACTTTCAAAGGCCATCTGGATTGTATTTCAGGATTAACTGTTGGAGGTATGGATTTGACTTGGTGCTTTTAGACTTCATTTATGGTGCCATGAAACCATCTTAATTAAATCCCTTTTCATTTCTCTTGTAGGTGGTTTCCTTTTTAGTTCCTCCTTTGATAAAACAGTCCATGTATGGTCTCTGCAGGTACATACCTTACAGTGAACATTTGTTGAATTTGTTCGTTAATCCAACTAGCATCAAATTATTGCTTAATGGTTTTATATTCTTTGTGGCACACCCTTTTGTAAATAATGTAGAACCATTTCAAGCTTATCAAAAAGTACTTTTTCGGCGCTCCTCTTGTTAACAAAATCTATGCTAAATACATGAGTGTAGCACCCAGAAAATTTTCTTGCAAACTTCTGTTACAAAATATTCTGACAAAGTATTAAAAAAATCTAACTAAAATAAAATCCTACTAAAAAAGTAAACGCAGTTTACTTCCCATTTAATGAGGCTCTAGGAGGGGTAGATTGGGTGCAGGTTCAACCACAACCTCAAGGTTAGTAGGCCAAGTTTAAACCATTGAAACTAATATATTGGAAGTAAAAAAGTTCAATTATAAATTTGAAAAACCTTTTAAGTTTCAAATTTTGATTACTTGTAGCATGGGTCAAGTTTTGCAAATCACTATTAATTAAATCATAAATATGATGGAATGAATGACTTATTTTCATTTTGCAATCTTGTAGTTTCCTATTTAAATATCCTTTTATAGTGAGATTCATTAGTGGATCTACCCGTTGTAGGATTTTATTCACTTGCATACATTTATGGGTCATGAGCATAAAATTACAGCTATAGTTTTCACATATGAAGAATAACCATTGTGCATAAGTGGTGATAGTTGAGTTGGCATTTACATCTGGGGTATTACTGATCCATTTGGTGAAGAACCAATAAAGAAACTGTTTGAGCAAAAAGATTGGCGCTATAGTGGTATTCATGCCCTTGCCATTTCTGGAACTAGATACCTATATACTGGTAGTGGAGATAAGTCAATAAAGGCATGGTCCTTGCAGGTAATGGGCTTATACTCATTTTGTGACCACTCTGGTTACACAGTAATTTTATTGCTTTGGAATCTAAAAATTGAGGTTTTGTTTAATTTTTATTCAGGATTACTCTCTACCCTATACTATGAATGGGCATAAGTCAGTTGTCTCTACTCTAGCAGTTTGTAATGGGGTTCTTTATAGTGGAAGTTGGGATGAAACTGTCCGGTTATGGTGTCTTAGTGATCACAGTCCTTTGACAGTATTGGGGGAGGATGTACCTGGAAATGTGACCTTTGTTTTGTCTCTTGGTACTTATGGGGATGCTCTTGCTGTGGCTCATGAGAATGGGTGTATGAAGGTTATGTATTATTTAAACCCTACTTAACTTGGTTATATTTGGTCATATTTCTATAAGCACTACATCACCTAATGTCCCTCAACTCAAGTTATTCATGTTGCATAGTCACCAAAAGTTACCAATAAAAGTAGCTATGATACCATGCAAGAACTATAAGTCTCAAAATGTGTGAATTGGATTGTAAAATAACTTGGTATGTCAAAGGTATGTCGAAGCAACCCAGTTATGAATGGAACCAATCACAAATCCATTTCCCAAGCTAATGCAATGTCTCGTTACTGTTTAGTGAAGGATTTTTGGTACTAATCATATTAGTTCTATTATTTCATATTTGAAATGTTTGCTTCAAAGACCATGACAACTGGATCTCTGGGTTTAATTACAATACTTGTTTGTTCCCTGCAGAGTTCGAAGATAATCCTCACCTTTATGTATTGAAGCCAATGAAATATTGAAGTTTGGAAAGTAAGATTCTTGACTCTCTATTACTAAAGTATTGTTATTTCTTTTAATTGGGTCTATGATCTTGCACTTTCTGATTCAAGCTGAGTCTGTTAGGGTCAGCATTTTCTTCTTCCTTTTTGGAAAAAAAGAAAGAAAAATGGGTTTTCAGACCGATGACAAGAAACAACTTTTTCAAAAAAAAAAATAAAAAAATCATAAAATTGACCAAAGTCCTGAAACTGACAATGAAGCATTGCAACTTTTTACTTCATAAGAACAGAGGTTC